CTGGAACCCGCACTCCAGCTCTGGTCGCTGTGTTACTTGGTCCTGCACCCCGATCACACTGCCACCCGGACTTGATGTACCACCTGTCATGTTAAATAAAGCCCTCATTCTTTATTTCTTCCTGCAAACTTAGTTCTTACAGAGATCCCACCCGTGGGATGAGACACAGTCACCACCTACACCAGGGATAAAAGGCAGAGGCCATTCTGGCTGAGTGTGTGTTCACTAGGCCAGTGTAGGCTCTGGTGCACCCTTTCTGCACAAGGCAATTGTCTTGCGAGTTACTACCGCTTTTGTTCCTATGCTCCTCTGGGCAACACTGAGGCCTTTCCTTTCCCAACGCAGGTGCTGTCTGCCTAAGGGGCAACGTCAGTGCCTCACCCCACAGACATTCCTCAAGTTCTATTCCATAAAATGAAATGTGTGTTCTTAGTCTACACTCAGACACGGGGTGGAGAGATGGTGCCGTGGTTCAAAGCACTGGCTGCTCTTACAGACATCCTAGGTTTGATTCCCAGAACCCAGATGGCCGCTCACACCCATCTAGCCCTCCAGCTCCAGGGGCTCTGACACCCTACTCTCGGTTCTGCAGGCATACGGTACACAGACATACATGCAAGCAGAACCCTCATACACCGAAGATAAAATAGTGAATGGACAGAAAAGGAAACTCTGACCTAGATGTTTTTTTTATAAATGTGACCTTCATCGTATCAGCAAATCAGTGTGTGCTTACATTGCATTAATAAAAGAATAAAGTTCTTTAAAGGTGAACTGTGCATTCTTAGTGTAAAGGAATGCCACGGTATGGCAATTCCCTCCAGGAGGGAGAAGGAGGCTCACAGGAAGTAAACAAACCCCAACATCCTGAATGGTGAAATTTGCAAGATTCAGAGGGTCCCTCCCCCATACACGAGGCTAGGAGAAGAGGTGACTGACCACTTTGGCTCCAGGCAGAGATGTCTCAGCCGTGGGGCTGCCCACAAGTCGTGCCGAAAGCTCCGGGGGGTCACGGTTTTCACTGAGTCCTCACCTGTGACAGGGTGGGCTCTGCAGCGGCCCTGGAGTCATTCCTGCCCCTGTAATAGCCTCTCACCCAAATTCCTGTTAGTGACCCCAATAAAAACTCATTGGGTCACCAGGTTTGGACCCTTCTGAAATGAGTAGAAATGGGGGGGCATGCATCTCCCCAGGAAAAGTCTCTCATACAAACTCTGATGGAGAATTCCTTATTGACTTTCGTTACTTCTGGCCATACGGCCATTATCATCAGCAAATCAATATGTGCTTAAGTTTCACTAACAAAAGGTCCAAGTTCAAACAGGGTCTCATGAGAAGGTCCAGGCTGGACTTAAACTCACCATGTCATCCAGGCGGGCCTTGAATTTTCAGTTCTCCTGCCTCAACATTCAGAGTAGCTGGAATTACCAGAGTGTACCGCACTTGGCCTATGGTGACATTTTTTTTTTTTCAAGAAAGGATCTTACTATGTAGCCCTGGGATGGCCTGAAATCTTCGTAGATGAGGCTAGCCTCAGATTCACAAAGATCCACCTGCTTCTACCTCCTAAGTGACAGGATTAAAGGCATGCCCCACTGTGCTCAGCTTTATTATGACATTTAAGGTAGGTTTTATCAATGGGAGGGAAGAGGTTAGAATGATCGGGGGTCCAGACCAAATACACCAGGCTCTCAGCTATGTCCTATTCCATAAGCTTAAGAAGAGATGACTTTAGTAAACTCGGTACCTGGTCCCAAGTCCATAGGCTATTCTTCTTTCTGGCTTAGTGATCCCATGAAAGCCTGTGAATAGAAGGTTCACAGACAGATTTATGTGGCCGTAAGGAAAAGCACTATCAAACCTAGTTCTGCCTCACAATGCAATCTGTGGTGAGGATATCATTGAGATTTCGATGGCCCCATGAGATATGTAAGAAGGAAAGCACTTGCACAGACATGATGCACTGGACCAGATTCTGAATGTACAATGTTGCTGGGCATGGGCTCTGTCCCTACCTCCACAGGCCTTCATGGCGAAAACAGACCAGAAATGTAGGAAATTGCGTAATAAAGTGTGAAATGAACCAGTGCAAGAAGAGTGCACTGACCCATGTTCTGCTGCTGTGACGTGGTTTCCGGGTTTCAATGCGTGGTCATCTGGACCCGCTGCGGCAGCAGGAAGAGAAGTGTAGCTCACTGCCACCGCCTGCAGTGCTTTGAGGAATTCACTTAGTGTGTTAGAGACCTCAACGGAGATAAAGCTACATCTTTGACTGCAACACAGAAAAGAATTTCAGGATAAGCCAGTGTAAAGCACAGTTGGGGTTTATTTTAAAGAAAAAGTAAGGGGAATACCTTAACAGGTAACATACCTGCTGTGCAAGCAGAGGACGTGAGTTCAGATCCCCAACGCCCACGTGGAAGCCATGCACAGTGGCACAGTGGCTCACCTATAACCTAGTGGCAGGAGGGCAGACAACTGGGTCCCCTGAGTTCCCTAGCCAGCCAGTCTAGCTTCAGATTCAGTGAGAAACCCTGTCTAAAAATTCAGAGCCGGGTGTTGGTGGTGCACCCCTTTAATCGCAGCACTTGGGAGGCAGAGCCAGGTGGATCTCTGTGAGTTCAAGCCCAACCTAGTCTACAAAGCGAGTTCTGGGACAGCCAGGGCTGTTACACAAAGAAATCCTGTCTTGAAAAACCTAAAAAGAAAAAAAAAAAAGAAGAAAAAGAAAGAAAGAAAAGAAATTCACTGGTTACAGAAAGAAAGAGATTTTAGAAAGGAGTTTATTATAGGCTCACACTCAAGAGACAGTGAATAGAGCTCCCGAGCAGCAGAAGCGGGTCCCGGAGAGAGGTACCACCCAACTGCTGGCTCGGGGGCATTTGTAGGACTCCCTTGGAAACTGGGTTGAGGCATGGGAGCTGAGCTGGTCAGTCTGGTTCGTCCACCGGTGTCCATATGCATCTCCAGCCCAGGTATATGGCTGGGAGTTTCTGATGCTTCCTCATGAGCAGCTTCCAGGCAGCTGTGAAAGAGCAGGCAGGAAGATAAGAAACTGGAGCAGTTCCCGGAACCCCAAATACTTCTGGCATTTCTGGCCTCTGACTAGAACATTACCAGCCTCCGGCCAAGGACAAGAATCTGAGGTCCCTGCCTCTAAACCCCCTGGCCTTGCCTATCTCCTTGTCAATATCTGGGAAAGGAATAAGGCCACAGCTGAAGATCATAGGCACGGTGAGTTGCTATTTTAACATAACATTTACATTTACAAATAAAAGGAATATTGTATCTAGATAGCAGACTTCCCAACAAATATTAGTTGTGCTGGAAATTTTTTAAATTTATTTTATGTGTATGAATGTTTTGCCTGCGTGTATGTACCTGTACCACATGTGTGCCTGAAGCCCACAGAGGTCAGAAGAGGGCATCGGATCTCCTGGAACTGGAGTTAAGGATGGCTGGAAGCCACCGTGTGGGTTCTGGGAGCTGAACCCTCTGCAAGAGCAGCTAGCGCTTTTGAACACTGGGCCATCTCTCCGAACCCTGTTCCTGGAATTCTTACTCTCCACTTGGAAGGCTTCAACCAGCCCCAGAGTGGGGCTCTTTTCCTTCCGATATGGCTCTAATATTCCCAGGTTTTCTACCCTGCCTCAATTGCTTGGGATGGGAAGAGAGACTGACCATGGCAGCGGTGAGAGTGTGTGGGGAGCAAAGCTGTTCGCCTGGCAGCTGGGCAGAGAGGGATGGAGGGAGAAGCTGGAGCAAGACGCAGCCTTCGAAGCCATAACCCCAGCGATCTTCCTTCAGCTGGGCCCCGCATCCTGCTTTGTACCACCTCCAAACAATGCCATCAGGCTATGAATCCCCATCTGCCAGTGCCTTCGTGATCCACAAGAGCCATGTACACTGCTTTTGGTGGCTTCTGAAATGGCATCCCCATTATCACTGCTCAGAAGTACTACCGCTGAACACAGCACTGGTGGCCACACCTGTACTCATGAGCTTCTGTGGGGCTATTCCTATCTAAAACACTTGCATTTGGCCTGGGCTCACCTGAGAACCACTCTGGGAACAGCTCTCTGGGGACCATTGCCTTCCACTAGCTCCTGAGGCAGGTTAAGCCAATGGCCTTGCAGGCCTGGCAGCTGGTGCTATGGCCCTGGGACACACTACTTCTTCTCACAGTGTCACGCCCTCTGGAAAGGCGGGCAAAGCCAATTTTCACCATGGTGGGCTCAGTTCAGGGCAGCCCTGAAAGTGAAGGAGGGTATTTCCAGTCACTCAGGGCCCAGGCCTAGCACTAACATGACATCGTGCCTGCCGCATCGTGTTGGTCAAAATCAGTCACAAGGTTCACCTGGCAACAAGGAATAGGGAAAAAAGTGGCAGGTGTGACAGGGCAAGACAGTGCAGAGGTTTCTGCATCTTGTATTCTTGCTGAGGCCATTTTAGGTTTAAGGAGAATTTGGTTTCCTTCATGGAGAATCCTGTGGAAAATTACCAAACCCTGTTGTCTTAGTTAAGGTTTCTACTCCTGTGAAGAGACACCATGACCACAACAATTCCTATAAAGGAAGACATTTAAATGAGGTGGTGGCTTTTGAATAAACCTGGGCAACTGGGTTTTGACCCAGGGGCCTCCCCCCCCCAAAAAAAAAAAATGAGGTGGTGGCTTACAGTTTCAGAGGTTTAGTTCATTATCATCATGGCAGGGAGTATGGCAGCTGGGAGTGTGGGGACATGTAGGCAGACATGGAGCTGGCTACAACTTTTTTTTTTTCCGAGACAGGGTTTCTCTGTGTAGCTTTGCACCTTTCCTGGATCTCGCTCTGTAGCCCAGTCTGGCCTCAAACTCACAGAGAGCTGCCTGCCTCTGCCTCCCAAGTGCTGAGATTAAAGGCATTTGCCACCATCTTTTTTTTTTTTTTTCAAGCCAACAGAAAGTCTTTCCTAGCCAGCCAGTGACTACATCAGGTGTTCAGTGCTCAAGTGCAGTCCAAAACTTGTTGTTGTTGTTGTTTTCACTTTCCTCCTTTTCTTTGCAAGTTTTCTCCTCTTTTTTTTTTTAAATTTTTTTTTAATGCCAAATGCTGTTTATTGAAGGAGGGAAGAGGTCTTAAATACAGGCTTACAGCACAATGGGAGAACCCTGGAGGGCAGAAGTTTGCGATGTTTTACAATCTTGCATCTAAGTTGTTAACGCCCATTATGCAGGATACATAGACAAGGAACTTCCCTTAAGCATTCAGGAGGGTGGAACCCGGCAGGGAATTAGCATAGGGAGGATATCAAGGTCAAGGTCAGCAAGCAAGGCAACAGTTACCCAAAAAACAGGGGCCAGGTCCCCCTTTTACTAAAAAATGAGCTTCTGACGTAGGTTGCATGGGAAGTCAGCAGGTCACCTTACCCGTCATGGAGATGCCTGTCCAGGTCACACAGGCTCTCTGTCTTAGGTTGGTGAGTGCCCCCCAGGTATTACCCTTCTCTGAATACTCATTATCATACAGGCTCAATCATGTGAGTTGCAGAGTTAACTGCTGCCAAAGATCTCAAAGTGGCACTGGGCTTGCAATCTGTGTGTTCAACACATAAAAGACCAACAGAAGTTCTAACCCACCCATAGCCAGTAGGCTAAAGGCAACTGAGCCATTCCCTTCCTTAACGGTGCTGGCTATATCTTGATCAGAAGACAACAGGAAGTGGACTGAGTGTCACACTGAGCATGGTTTGAGCAAATATGAGACCTGAAAGCCCACCCCCACAGTTACACACTTCCTCCAACAAGGCCACACCCCCTAATAGTACCACTCCCTTTGGGGGCCACTTTTGTTTAAACCACAATACCTATTCTAAGAAGCAAAGGTCAGGATGCCCTATCTAACTTCTCTTAGTCTTTGTTAAGACTGCCGGTTTTTAGGAACATCCTCCAGACAACTGCTTATCTTAGCTTCTGTTAAAACTGCTTACTTCTCTGGGCTGATGATGGTACACCCCCTTTGATCCTAGCACTCTTGAGGCAGAGGCAGGCAGATCTGAATTAAAGGCCAGCCTGGTCTACAGAGTGAGTTCCAGGACAGCCAGGGATACATAGAGAAACCCTGTCTCAAAAAAATTAAAACAAAAACAAAAATTGCTTGCTTCAAACTGCTTACTTCTGTGAAGTCCCTCTACAGCTGCCAACAAGATGCCAGGATGAAGTTTCTGCCATCAGAAACCCTGTGTTCTGGACATTGGGACCACACCTAGTTCCCCAAATAGCTGATATGGTCCCAGGCAGCTGGAATAAAGACTTTCAGTTGGCTATAAACTGTGTCTGAGTGGTCATCTCTGGCAGGCCATCTGTATAAATGGCACACACTGACAGGTGGTGGTGGTGGTGGTGGTGGCGGCGGCGGTACACGCCTTTAATCCCAAGCATTTGGGAGGCAGAGGCAGGTGGATCTCTGTGACTTTGAGGTCAGTCTCGGCTACAAAAAAGTTCCAGAACAGCCAGGGCTATACAGAGAAATCCTGTCTCCAAAAATTAAATAAGTAAATAAATAAATAAACAAACAAACAAACAAAGCGATGGCACACACCTGTAGTTGCAGTGCTGGGGAGGCAAAGACAGGAGGATCCCCGGAGTTCGACCGCAAGCCGGTCTAGCATAGTTGGTGAGCTCCAGGCCGGTGAGAGGCCCTGTCTCAAAGGTGGCCCAAGTTGCTGAAGGTGATGCCTGAGTTTGTCTTTGGGCCTCCCCACCGAACATTCATGCACACACACATTTTAAAATGAAAAGAGGGCCAGGTGGTGGCGGTGGCTCACACATTTAATTCCAGCACTTGGGAGGCAGAGGCAAGTGGATCTCTGTGAGTTCAAGTACAGCCTAGTCTAAAGAGTGAGTTTTAGGACAGCCAGAACTACAGAGAAAAACCCTGTCTCAAGAAAACTAAAATAAATAGACAAATAAATAAATAAATTTTAAAAATGCAAAGAATCCACCCAGGTCATACAGGTCTGAGATCAATTATGCTACAAATGTGGATTTGTCTCTCATTTTTCTAACAAAGACTGATTACTACATCAATAGTAGGAAGTACCTTTGTTTACACCAGCCATCCACTGATTGACTTCTTTCCCCAACACTTCCACATGCCTGAGGTCAAACCATTCATATATTAAGCTTCCATTTTCTTACTACTGTTTAGAGATAAGTCTTCTACCTCTGTACAGTCCATGCCTTCTGAACAGAAGACATTTGAATAGCCAACTGCCTTGGCAACCAAAACAGTGAATTTTGCCTGAGAGACTTGGAAATGTCGCTCCCCAGAGATGTCTCCACACTGTAAAAAATAAACTTTCTCCTCCGCCCCCTTGGAGGATATTGGCTAATATTCCAGGGTAATGAATAATCTCTCTAGGGTGTGAGAAGGGACATGCAGGTCAGCAGTTTCTTAATTTCCACCTGACACCCAAATCCGATCACTTTCAAGCCATAATCTTCTACCCCTATCTCCATAGGCTCATGGACACCTCACGGGCAAAATGCACTCAGTCCAACTTCAGCAGTCCTCATAGTCTTTAACAGTTCCCCCACTGGCTCAAAGTATAGGTGCAGAGTCTCTTCTGAGACTTGGGCAACCTCTCAAATAAAAGTCCCTGTACAAGCAAAAACAACGTTCATACTTTCAGCACACAATGGCAAGACTGGAGGTGGCCCTCTAGCTGCCAAGGCTGTTTGCTGTTCAGATGTCGATGAATGGGGACATAGCAGGGAAACACAGGACCAAAGCAAGACCAAAGCCATTCAGGCAAAATGCCCAGTCTTTCCTCTGCATGGGGCACCAGGCAAAATGCTCAGTCTTTCCTCTGCATTGGGCACCCACTGCACACCCAGGCACCACTGGCTAACTCGTACACTGTTCTGACTGCTGTCTACCTGTCAGTCATCAACCTCTGTTGTAGCCCCCGGAGAGCCTGTGTCTTCTGATAGTACGTGGATATAAAATTGAAACATGATTACTGGTAAGCTTGTGAGCAGTCACA